TTATTTAGCCTGAGTATTTTGTATGTCGTGAGCAAGGCTCACCTATGTCACAGTAAGGCACCAGTGTGCAGAGTGGTACTATAAAGAGTACTCACAATATTTACGATTATTATTGGTGTATGCAGGCACCCGGAGTAATTGATGAATTTACTGTGTGGATAATGTCTTTCATGAGACTTTAATGTGATCATATAGTGAGAGAAAATATATATATATAATTATGTCAGTGTTTGGAGTTAGGCTATGTGCCCAGTAACTATGTTATTACCATTATTGATGTCTGACTCATCCATATATATATATATATATATATATATATATATATATATATATATATATATATATATATATATATATATATATATATGTCTATGCTCGTGTATTGAATAATCATTCATGTGTGCAGTGATTAATTGTGTTATCGCCCACGGAAGGAATTACTGAGAACTCCAGTGATATATACTTCATAAGTTATCATTAAACGAAGGGCAGTGTGTAATACCATGACAGTGAATTATTGTCACATTTAATATAGAAATGTTTGATTGAGCCCAAGATCAGTGTAGCGAAGTATTTACGTGCTATTGTCGCAAATATTGTGTGTTCGAACTTCTAGTGATCTTTGAGAACTTAAAGAAATTGGCGCATCACGCCAAGCAAACAGATAAAGTAACATTCGCGCGGGGGGTAGTTGCCCAGCTGATTTTGACATTGATGAGAGGGGGAGTGTTGCCAGCTTAGTGAGTTCATATTTTATGTGGGAACGAACGACTCCCGCCTGAAACAGCTGTTTGCTTTTTTATATAATCTTGTGATGTCTTTGAATGAGTTTTAAGTAAAATACAAAATACATTGGTGTTTATATCATCCCCTCCATATTTCTTGTGGCTATATAATACCTGAAAGCAGAGAGTGATAGAAGTAAATACCTGCCTGATATCAGATCTATTGAGTGTGTCCTTGCCACTGTTACCACAATTCAACAAAACCACTGACGTGTTACTGGACACCGAAAACACCAGTTGGCGACCTTGTGGTTAGTAGTAGAGCCCTATGACGGGGCGGGCATACAACAGTTAAGTGTACAAGTTGTGTTCCCACTCCTTCTCGATCAGAGGCCGGTTGGGATTGACTGGGATACTCTCCTGGTGTACAGTGGCACCGCGAGGATAGAGTGAAGACCCGCAGGGCAACGGTGAGTGACCTTGAGTATACTGTTGCTCACCCGAGTGAACCCCGACAGTATATATATATATATTGTACCTAGTAGCCAGAACGCACTTCTTGGACTACTATTCAAGGCCCGATTTGCCTAATAGGCCGAGTGATTTTTTTTATTTGCAAAAATTGTTTTCAATTAGTTTATTTTAATTATTATTATATTATATTAGGAACATAATTTTTTGACGTAGTTGTATTAGTTTAGATTAGGTTTAGATAGGTTAGGTTAGGTTAGGTAGGGTTGGTTAGGTTCGGTCATATATCTACGTTAGTTTTAACTCCAATTTAAGCAAATTAACTAATACATAACGAAATAGCCAGATTTATCGTTGCACTAGAAAAAATTAGGCAAATATATAAATTAAGGAAAACTTGGCTTATTATGCAAATCGGGCCTTGCATAGTAGGCCGAGTAAGACGTTCTGGCTACTAGGTACAACATATATATATATATATATATATATATATATATATATATATATATATATATATATATATGTCGTACCTAGTAGCCAGAACTCACTTCTCAGCCTACTATTCAAGGCCCGATTTGCCTAATAAGCCAAGTTTTCCTGAATTAATATATTTACTATAATTTTTTCTTATGAAATGATAAAGCAACCCTTTTCTCTATGTATGAGGTCAATTTTTTTTTATTGGAGTTAAAATTAACGTAGATATATGACCGAACCTAACCAACCCTACCTAACCTAACCTAACCTATACTAATAGGTAAGGTTAGGTTAGGTAGCCAAAAAAAGCTAGGTTAGGTTAGGTTAGGTAGGTTAGGTAGACGAAAAAACATTAATTCATTAAAACTTGGCTTATTAGGCAAATCGGGCCTTGAATAGTAGGCTGAGAAGTGCGTTCTGGCTATTAGGTACGACATATATATATATATATATATATATATATATATATATATATATATATATATATATATATATATATATATATATGTCGTACCTAGTAGCCAGAACTCACTTCTCAGCCTACTATGCGAGGCCCGATTTGCCTAATAAGCGAAGTTTTACTGAATTAATATATTTTCTCTAATTTTTTTCTTATGAAATGATAAAGCTACCCATTTCATTATGTATGAGGTCAATTTTTTTTTATTGGAGTTAAAATTAACGTAGATATATGACCGAACCTAACCAACCCTACCTAACCTAACCTAACCTATCTTTATAGGTTAGGTTAGGTTAGGTAGCCGAAAACGTTAGGTTAGGTTAGGTTAGGTAGGTTAGGTTGTCGAAAAAACATTAATTCATGAAAACTAGGCTTATTAGGCAAATCGGGCCATGCATAGTAGGCTGAGAAGTGAGTTCTGGCTACTAGGTACTATATATATATATATATATATATATATATATATATATATATATATATATATATATATATATATATATATGTCGTACCTAGTAGCCAGAACGCACTTCTCAGCCTACTATGCAAGGCCCGATTTGCCTAATAAGCCAAGTTTTCATGAACTATTTTTTTCGACTACCTAACCTACCTAACCTAACCTAACCTAACTTTTTCGGCAACCTAACCTAACCTAACCTATAAAGATGGATTAGGTTAGGTAAGGTAGGGTTGGTTAGGTTCGGTCATATATCTACGTTAATTTTAACTCCAATAAAAAAAATTGACCTCATTCATAATGAAATGGGTAGCTTTATCATTTCATAAGATCGTATATCCCTGCTGAATCACTCAGATGTTCTGGTAGGATCTCTCTTACACGGTCGTTCAATGCATGGGAGGTAAAGGAAGGCTGGTAGAGTAATCTGGGAGGCTGTTTGGACACCAAGCCATCGAATCTTACAGAGAAGGATGCTTGCGCCCATTGAGAGTCGTCCAACGGGATGTTCAGGATTTTCTCTAGCATGGACACTACAGAAGGGTGTCATACTTGTTTAATTTAGGGCTGCTTTACCAACCCACCGAAACCTTAAATGCCAAAACTCTATTTTGGCATTTGACAAGCTGCCGTTTTCCTGTCCTCATCGAGGTATTAGTGGCCCTTAGGTAAATTCAGGTAATTGCGCTGTCCCTGTGGCACAGTGGTAAAATATTCGCCCAGCACTTCGCGAGTGCTTTGGCCTGGGTTTGTATCCTGGCCGGGGAGGATTGACTGGGCGCCAATCCTTAACTGTAGTCTCTGTTCACTCAGCAGTGAATTGGTACTTGGTTGTTAAACGATTTGGCGGGTCGTAATCCGGGGAAAAATTAGGATTAAGGACCTGCCCGAAATGCTAAGCGTGCTAGTGGCTGTACAATAATGTAAGAACTCTTGTATATATATAAATAAATAAATAAAATAAAGTTTACCATTTGTAAACCAGAGGTTGTTTAATCTTTTGACACCTTCTTGCTTGGTGAGAAGAGGAGAGTGTGTTGTAGAGGCTTCAAGCTTTGGTCTGGAAGATGTCAGTTAGAGAATTTATGCAAAGTGTATTCTTTTATTTATTTATTTATATACAAGAAGGTACATTGGGTTTGTCAGGATACATAGCATGGTATTTACAATCTTGTAAAGCCACTAGTACGCGCAGCGTTTCGGGCAGGTCCTTAATCTAACACTATTCATTCAGATACCCAGTTTATATTGTGAAGCACGTATATGAGGTTGCCTATTGCTGCTTCTCTCTGTAATCTGAAGGTCAATTTCTTGGTGTCTGTTGGTGTTATGTCCATGTTTGCTATGAGAAAAGTAGGATAATGATTGATTGTTCTGTTAGTCATTGTACCAGAAGCAAAAGGGGTTGTTATACTAATCCATATGTGGTCCAGAGCTATAGCAGATGTTTGAGTTATATGGGTGGGCTTGATGATTGTGGGGTTTAGCAACCATGTATTAATGCTGTTAAAGTAGTAGTCGACTTGAGGATTATTTTGTTGACAAAAGTCAATGTTGAAGTCACCTAAAATGATGCGATTTTTGTTGAGATTGTTGCTTATGATTAGATTTCTCAGATTGTTTGACATTGCAGTTATATTGACTTTGGGAAATATATAAACAGCTCCAGTAGTTACAGAGGATTTAAAGGGTTTGATGAAACTGAACAAAGGTATATTCATAGTAGTCGTGTCTATCACTAATGACACTAGTGCAGGTAAAGTTATCTTGATAGCTACCACCCCATTTTTGTCTGGCCTGCAGTTAAGAATGCCTTTATAACCGATTAAGTTGCATAATTGAACATAATCTTTATTTAGCCTTATTTCTGTTAAAATAATGAAATCGAGTTTAGTACCTAGTGCTTTTGGTATTGCATATATATCATCAAAATGTTTATTGAGTGATCTGATATTTTAGTTAATTACTGATAGACTAGTGTTAGTTTAAAGTTAATTTTGTGCATGGTTTACTGAGTAGTAAATTTACTAATGATTACCAGTTTGTTGGTTATTGTAGATATATTAAATTATATGTGATAGCATATTTAGTTCAGGGTTAATGTCAGCTTACATGCACCAAGAATGGAGAGCACTATTTAATGATATTTAGATTAGAAAAGTATGAGAAATGTGTGTCAAACTCTGAAATTGAATAATTGTCTACAACATTAAAGTACACAATATGGAGTTAGATGCAATGTACTTAGAATTTAAATTTAATTAATAATATGGTAATATAAGAGAAGAAAAAAGAAAAACACAAGAACGGAGAATTGATGGTTAGAAAGATGGCGTGCAAGAGCTGAGAGCTCGATCCTGCAGACACAAATAGTAAAGACACACACACAGCCAGTCCAGTTGTACCTACTCACCGCACCAAGACGCAGCCACACAGACGACCCACCACTCGACCACCTTGGGCAGGACGAGGAGTGCACAGCGGGGTGGAGCCGGGTGAGCCAGGGCCGTGGCCAGCGCCTGGGCCTGGCTGAACAGCTCACTGTAGGTCACCAGAGTCTCCTCCCTCCCGTCCGTCACCCGTAGCGCCGGGTGTCCTGGCTGAGGGCGACCACGTCTCCGTTACTCACTACTTCACTTAACATTTTCCCCAACATTATATTTGCAGTCCCCGTGGCGTAGTGGTAAATTACTTGCTCAGCGCTTCGGCCTGAGTTCGTATCCTACCCGGGAGGATTGACTGGGTGCCAGTCCTTAACTGTAGCCTCTGTTCACCCAGCAGTGAATGGGTTCCTGGTTGTTGAACTATTTGGCGGGTCATATCCAGGGAAAAATTAGGTTTGAGGACATGCCAGAAACACTAGTGGCCTTACAAAAATGTAAGAACTCATGTATATATAAATAAAATAAAAAAATTTTTGCCTGGTTTTGCGGTTTGACGAACCTCAGCTGTAAAGCAAATGAACTGAAAAGGAAGAAAATGGAAGGCATGAACGTGGAAGCTGGAGAGATGAAGGGAGAAGATAGGCAGAAAAGGGTGCCTCAGAGTAAGGATACATTATATTTGAGGACCAATCAGGCTGTGATTCATACGTCAGGCTGCGAGCAGCCACGTCCAACAGCCTGGTTGACCAGTCCAGCAACGAGGTATAGTCAGTGACCGGGCCGCAGGGGTACATTAAGTCCTGAAATCAACGCAAGATAACCTTTCTTGTATCAACTTATTGTTACAGGTCTGCCTGGATTACTCAAGTGTACAAATCACACCTACGTTCTTAGAACAATTAAAACAACATTTATTTTACAGTTTAAGTAGCGGTATATGTTGGTATATACTGTAATAAAATTGAAAACAAGCCACCACTGAGAATGACAGGCGCCGCCCAAATAATTCGCCCCTCGGGCAAAACCTAACAGTAACAATTACAATAACAGATGTAGTAAGCGGAATAAATGTTAAAGGAATGAGTTCCAATTCCCTGACATAAAGCGACTCATTATAAAAAATAAGAGACAACAGACAAGAAATTTGCACAGCGGCATGCGGAGATACCTCAACACCACTAACATCAATATAATAATATTGTAATAATAATAATAATAATAATAATAATAATAATAATAATAATAATAATAATAATAATAATAATAAAATAATAATAATAATAATAATAATAATAATAAAATAATAATAATAATAAAATAAAAATAATATTGTAATAATAATAATAATAATAATAATAATAATAATAATAATAATAATAAAATAATAATAATAATAAAATAATAATAATAATAAAATAATAATAATAATAAAATAAAAATAATATTGTAATAATAATAATAATAATATTGTAATAATAATAATAATAATATTGTAAAAATAGTAATATAATAGTATTGTAAATAACGAATTAAGAAAAGCCCACTCGTGGATTATCAACCAGCACTCGCACTAAACATAGAAAACACCTAAAACATTTTATTTGGAAGTAAATTATTACACTAACTTCACCTTCAGAAGTTAACATTAGCATTCAAAATGATGGAGCGGCACTTGACCTTATGACCAGGGTTGGTCAATAAATATTATGATAAGGTTTGAGCTTGTGTGACAATAAACAGCGGGAATTGTAAAGGAACAAATGATGAATTTCCGAGTAGTGGCCAGTTAACGTGCAGCGTTGCCTGGACACGACTTAATTATGAAATGTAACTTACTGGCCGGTGTTTAGAGTTTTAAAGTAAACAAGTAATTAAGTTTTAAGCAGCCAGTAGGTTATATCATATAGTTTATATTAAATAAAGTGTGGTGGTAGAGTTAAGATATTTGATAAGACGGTTGTGTACGACGTGTGGAAATGTTCCCATGGTTAGAGGACGGTTGAATTCACTTGCGTGTGGGTGACGCTCTGGCTGGTGTTGGGTGACGCTCTGGTTGGTGTTGGGTGACGCTCTGGCTGGTGTTGGGTGACGCTCTGGCTGGTGTTGGGTGACGCTCTGGCTGGTGTTGGGTGACGCTCTGGTTGGTGTTGGGTGACGCTCTGGCTGGTGTTGGGTGACGCTCTGGCTGGTGTTGGGTGACGCTCTGGCTGGTGTTGTGTGACGCTCTGGCTGGTGTTGTGTGACGCTCTGGCTGGTGTTGGGTGACGCTCTGGCTGGTGTTGTGTGACGCTCTGGCTGGTGTTGGGTGATGCTCTGGCTGGTGTTGTGTGACGCTCTGGCTGGTGTTGGGTGATGCTCTGGCTGGTGTTGTGTGACGCTCTGGCTGGTGTTGTGTAACGCTCTGGCTGGTGTTGGGTGACGCTCTGGCTGGTGTTGTGTGACGCTCTGGCTGGTGTTGGGTGACGCTCTGGATGGTGTTGGGTGACGCTCTGGATGGTGTTGGGTGACGCTCTGGCTGGTGTTGTGTGACGCTCTGGCTGGTGTTGGGTGATGCTCTGGCTGGTGTTGGGTGACGCTCTGGCTGGTGTTGTGTAACGCTCTGGCTGGTGTTGGGTGACGCTCTGGCTGGTGTTGGGTGACGCTCTGGCTGGTGTGTGACGCTCTGGCTGGTGTTGGGTGACGCTCTGGCTGGTGTTGGGTGACGCTCTGGCTGGTGTTGGGTGACGCTCTGGCTGGTGTTGGGTGACGCTCTGGCTGGTGTTGTGTAACGCTCTGGCTGGTGTTGGGTGACGCTCTGGCTGGTGTTGGGTGATGCTCTGGCTGGTGTTGGGTGATGCTCTGGCTGGTGTTGGGTGATGCTCTGGCTGGTGTTGGGTGACGCTCTGGCTGGTGTTGGGTGACGCTCTGGCTGGTGTTGGGTGACGCTCTGGCTGGTGTTGGGTGACGCTCTGGCTGGTGTTGGGTGACGCTCTGGCTGGTGTTGGGTGATGCTCTGGCTGGTGTTGGGTGACGCTCTGGCTGGTGTTGTGTAACGCTCTGGCTGGTGTTGGGTGACGCTCTGGCTGGTGTTGGGTGATGCTCTGGCTGGTGTTGGGTGATGCTCTGGCTGGTGTTGGGTGATGCTCTGGCTGGTGTTGGGTGACGCTCTGGCTGGTGTTGGGTGACGCTCTGGCTGGTGTTGGGTGACGCTCTGGCTGGTGTTGGGTGACGCTCTGGCTGGTGTTGGGTGACGCTCTGGCTGGTGTTGGGTGATGCTCTGGCTGGTGTTGGGTGACGCTCTGGCAGGTGTTGGGTGATGCTCTGGCTGGTGTTGGGTGACGCTCTGGCTGGTGTTGTGTAACGCTCTGGCTGGTGTTGGGTGACGCTCTGGCTGGTGTTGGGTGATGCTCTGGCTGGTGTTGGGTGACGCTCTGGCTGGTGTTGGGTGATGCTCTGGCTGGTGTTGGGTGACGCTCTGGCTGGTGTTGGGTGACGCTCTGGCTGGTGTTGTGTGACGCTCTGGCTGGTGTTGGGTGACGCTCTGGCTGGTGTTGGGTGATGCTCTGGCTGGTGTTGGGTGATGCTCTGGCTGGTGTTGGGTGACGCTCTGGCTGGTGTTGGGTGACGCTCTGGCTGGTGTTGGGTGACGCTCTGGCTGGTGTTGGGTGATGCTCTGGCTGGTGTTGGGTGACGCTCTGGCTGGTGTTGGGTGACGCTCTGGCTGGTGTTGGGTGACGCTCTGGCTGGTGTTGGGTGATGCTCTGGCTGGTGTTGGGTGACGCTCTGGCTGGTGTTGGGTGATGCTCTGGCTGGTGTTGGGTGACGCTCTGGCTGGTGTTGGGTGATGCTCTGGCTGGTGTTGGGTGACGCTCTGGCTGGTGTTGGGTGACGCTCTGGCTGGTGTTGGGTGACGCTCTGGCTGGTGTTGGGTGATGCTCTGGCTGGTGTTGGGTGACGCTCTGGCTGGTGTTGGGTGACGCTCTGGCTGGTGTTGGGTGACGCTCTGGCTGGTGTTGGGTGACGCTCTGGCTGGTGTTAGAGGCCAGCTCTTACTTGTGGACTCAGCATTTGGTTAAGTACTTCCCCCCGTTATTGTACATGCCACCTAACTTTACCTTCCATTTAATAACCTGTTATTGCAACTCCAGGAATACTATAAAACTATTTAAGGTAACTTGAGAGGATCTTAAGGTTGTGTGGGGGTTACTGGGGATGTTTACCTCAGCGCCATTAAGACAAGTGGCTTCGACGAGGTCAGGAAGCCGGCGGCTTGTCAAAGATTCCACCATTTGCCCCATCTTTTACATATGGATTTTAAAATTTAACAGTTTTGGCAGTTCCGGGTAGGCATTTCCGTGGGTTTATAACTCTGTGGGTGGAAAAAGCATCACCTGTTCTCAGTCCTACATTGCACTTGTTGAGTGTGAAATCGTTGCTCCTTGTTTGTGTTACATTTTAAAGAAATTTTCGGGTTCAACATCCTACGGATTGTTCAGTATTTTAAGTTTCGATGAAAACCGCCCTGTCAAGCCTCTTTTGCAGTGTTGTTAGACACATGGCCCGCAATCTTTCCTAATACGAGAGCTGACTTGGCTCTGGAATGATTTTTGTTGCCCGGTGTTGCACATTCTCCAGCGCATTTGTGTCTTTCTGAAGATGACGTCTATATGTTGGAAATTTCCAACATTTAATTATTAATCTCTAGTACAATACGATGCATTTCCCGTACTAGACGTCAGAATCATCTAGCGTTTAATTACTAACATTTAGTACTGCGTTAGATAATCCTTGTACATTATATTTTATTAACACTACTAATCAGTAGAGTAATACTATCAATTCATTTCTTACTGCAATAACCACTCCAAAAGTTTCCTACTATCCATGACGAAGTTACGTCAACCAGACCGACCAAGGGAAAAAAAAGTCTACATTTCAGAGAATTGTATTAAATTCTCCCTTCATATCAGCATTCTTCCATAAGAATTATTCGCTGATAATATATTTACCATTGAGCGAGTGATATAGCATTATTTTCTGAGATCACTATATACAGTTGAAACTGTTATCACAGAGATACGTGGAGGAAAGAATTTCCCCTATAACCTTTTTGTCTATATGAACTTCGTTTCATATTTGTTATATGACGAGAATTTAATCAATATTAGCTTTCTTATTATAAACCTTGTCCTTATTATCTTGCATAGTTGAGTAAATTATCGGAGTTAATTTCTCCG